GAACCAGTAGTGTAACCGGACCCTAACCAGTTGTGTAACCGCAAGCCTAGCGTGAAAGAACCAAACAAACAATTCAAAACAAACAACATCTGAAGCACAACCATGCACGAATCGAAGCCCGACCATGCACAACCCGAAGCCCAAGTGACACCCCCGGAGCCCGACCAGTTAAGTAACCGGAGCCCGACCAGTTATGTAACCGGAGCCCGACCAGTTGTGTAACCGGAGCCCGACCAGTTATTTAACCGGAGCCCGACCAAACATCTAACCGGACCCTCACCAAGCCAAACAGCCCCAGTTGTGTAATCGGAGCCCGACCAGTTGTGTAACGGCAAGTCTAGCATCAACGAACCGAACAAACATCTGAAGCAGAACCATGCACGAACCGAAGCCCGACCATGCACAACCCGAAACCCAAGTGACATTCCCAGAGCCCGACCAGCTGTGTAACCGGAGCCCGACCAGCTGTGTAACCTTAGCCCGACCAGTAGTGTAACCTTAGCCCGACCAGTAGTGTAACCTTAGCCCGACCAGTAGTGTAACCGGAGCCCGACCAGTAGTGTAACCGGAGCCCGACCAGTAGTGTAACCGGAGCCCGACCAGTAGTGTAACCGGAGCCCGACCAGTAGTGTAACCGGAGCCCGACCAGTAGTGTAACTGGAGCCCGACCAGTTGTGTAACCGCAAGCCTAGGATGAACAAATCGAAGTAGTGTAACCGGAGCCCGACCAGTAGTGTAACCGGAGCCCGATCATGCACAACCCGAAGCCCTAGTGAACCCCGGAGCCCGACCAGTAGTGTAACCGGAGCCCGACCAGTAGTGTAACCGGAGCCCGACCAGTTGTGTAACCGGAGCCCGACCAGTTGTGTAACTGGAGCCCGACCAGTTGTGTAACTGGAGCCTAGCAAGGATACACCATCTAAGTCCCAAGCCAAACAAACATGGAGCCCGACCAAACTCCCTTCCTAACGTGTAACTTAGGACCTAAAACCGACCAGTTGTGTAGAAACGAACTACGGAGCCATAGCAAACAAACAATTGAGCTCTGTACGAAAAAAGAAACCCGGATATCTCATCCCCCCCCCCCAGTGTGCTAAGTGGGGTGCCAAAGGATCCATTTTGGGTCCAACACTTTTTGTCATATACCTAATAACAGATGAGAATATTAGAAACCACATCAAATATGCAGATGACACTAAGATCTGTGGTAAAGTGGGAAATGAACGCCATATTGAAACCTTACAAAGAGATCTACATGAACTCCACAAATGGTCAGATGACTTTTTAATGTCGATAAATGCAAGACCTTGCATGTGGGGCATAACCCACGTCACAACTACCAAATTAACAGCACTATCTTTCAACAGATAGATGAAGAAAAGGACCTTGGAGTCAGAATCCATCACGTGAGGCATAACAATACACAACACAACTACCAAATCATCAACATTATCTTGGAGTCAGAATCCACCAATCACTGATAGTTGTACAACAAGTGGGAGCGGCAGTAAAAAAGCAAACCAAACCCTGGGAATAATCATGCGTACCTTTACCTTTAAAGGAAAAGAAAGTAGACCTTCAGTTGTATAAGTTTCTGGTGCGCCCCCACATGAATTATTGCATCCAGGCATGGAGACCTCATCTTCAGAAAGACATAGCTGCTCTGGAGCCATGTCGTACCAGAGCTATGGAGCTATGTCTTACGACAAAAATCATACCAGAGCTTAGTCATCTCTCGTATCAGGAACGGTTGAGAGCCACAGGGCTAACACCACCACAAGCCAGGCATGACAGGGCGCACTTCATAGAAACCTTTAAAATTCTAAACAATTTGGAGGATGTCGATCAGGACAATGTCTACAAAAGTTCAGATATTACACGAACAAGGACGAACGGGTTCAAACTCAACAAGCCAGAATGTTGGACAGGAAACTGGAGATGCTTTTTCACCCATAGGGTTGTAAACCCGTGGAACCGCCTACCCGCCGAAACCGTAAACGCCAAAACTCTGCTGGGTTTAAAAATACAGCTGGAAAAGATCATCAAGGCAAATGAGGGGACCTTTGACAAGCCGCCGGCTTACTGTCCTCATCGAGGCCACTAGTGTTAGTGGCCCTCAGGTAAATTCAGTTCCTGGAGGGGTCCCCGCTCCTTCCTGTTGGGAAGTTGTTCATCTATTGTCTCAACATCACAACACTGTCTTATTGTCATCAACTTAGTTTTTAAACTATTAACTTGATGAAATAATATTACCTTATACGCGAGAATAATTCTGAATACGCAGTGCAATATAATTTGCAGTCTCCGTGGTGTAGTGGTAAGACACTCGCCTGGCGTTCCGCGAGCGCTATGTCATGGGTTCGTATCCTGGCCGGGGAGGATTTACTGGGCGCAATTCCTTAACTGTAGCCTCTGTTTAACGGAACAGTAAAATGTGCATTTGGTTGTAAAAACGATTCCTCGCGGCGGGGATCGTATTCCAGGGACCTGCCCGAAACGCTACGCGTACTACTAGCTTTACAAGAAATGGTCACTGCTTGATCGCAAGCGGGGATATTTCTGATGGGGGAGAAAGAAACATTTGCGCAGCGCGTCCCGCGGCGTTGCGCGGGCAGTCTGGGGCTGTATAAATATGGGCGCACAGAGGGGCTCTGCCCTCACTCCGCCTGCCCCCGCCGCTGCCCTCGCAAAGAATAATCTGAATACGCAGTGCAATAAAATTAACGAATGCGACTTTGGGTTGGGCGGCCGCGTAAGCGAGCCTGGCCTGAGGACAGGCAACTGTAAATGCTTCACCCTCCACATACTTCAAGTGTAAATAATTGCCAACAGAACCTAAATACCGAACCTAATATACGCCTAATTAAACATAGAATATAAAATTAATTTATACGCAATAACAATTATTTTTAATACACAGTACATTAAAGTCGATAATAAATGCGTCTTGGGAGGTGGAGGTAGGGGGTCGACCGCCGCGTTAACGAGCCTAGCCTGACGACGGGGTAGTTTAACACTGGGGAAGTGTATTCTACATAATATCCTACCCAAATAATGTTGGCAAATCATGATCCTCAAAATCTTCCACAATATCCGAGAGAGGACAGACTATTTAGCATTAGTGGAATACAAACATTTGAATACTACAGAACTCGGATGAAATAAAACAATAGAAAACAATGACTCGGAAGCATTACAAAAACTATAAATGTTATAATAGCGAACAAATGTATAATGCATTAAGCATTGTAGGTGGAGGTAGACTATATATTAATGCGTACCTCCCAAGTGCTCAGATAGCCCCCCCCCAAAAAAAAAAAAATGATCAGCCTTACCTACGCCAGAGCGACGTTGCTCACGCCGCCGGTGCTCCCTGACGACTGACCGGATCATAGTCAATGAACCGGAAGCGTCCAACCTACCCAGAGACCCTCTGCCTAAAATTATTTGAACGCCATATTGAAATTCCTAGCGTATTATAGCGCCAGGAGTGTGTAAATTAATATTTATATGCACTACAGGCCTTTCTAAGGTAATTGATAGATCTGAATATCATATATTGTCTAACAAACGAATTATTTAAGTTAATATTTTAATTATGCCAGATACAAGTCTCATCGCACACAATTAGATTCGTCAGCGTATTTTTTTTATTTATATATAAAAAGAGTTCTTAAATTCTTGTAAAGCGACCCGCCAAATAGGCCAAACAACCAATTCTCTGCTGGGTGAACAGTTAAGGATTGTTACCCGGTTGCCAGCAGGTCAAAGCAGGATTATTTAATTAGCTAAGATTTATCTGAATTTACCAGAGGGTCACCTGTGTTGCATCTGATCATAAATAATCATCATTGAGTTTCTGAACATTAATAGCCCAAATTAGCCCATCTTGCTTTTAAATTAGCCCAAAAAGTGGCAAGTAGCGAAATTAAAAATTTGGGAGCGCTGGGCTCTCAAAAGTAGCCCAATTCGCTACTTGTAGCCCAATCTGGCATCCATAAGGAATCATTCAGTCCCTTGTATACCACATATGTCAGATTAATCCTGGAGTATGCGGCTCCAGCATGGAGTCCACATCTAGTCAAGCATAAGATTAAACTGGAGAAGGTTCAATAGTTTGCCATCAGACTAGTACCCGAACTGAGGGGTATGAGCTACGAAGAGAGACTAAGGGGATTAAACCAGGGGTAGATAAATACATATTATTTAACACAAAGGGGCATACGCATTTGGGGGACACAGTTGGAAATTGAGAGCCATAGAGACATTAGAAATATTTTTTTTAGTCAGAGTAGTTGACAAATGGAATGCTTTAGGAAGCGAACTAGAGGGTTCAGTTCCTGAACCGATTATGTGCCTCTGTAACCCTTTACACCACCGCCCACGGGATGGGTATGGGGTGCATAATAAAGAAAGAAATTGAAATTAGGAAATGATGTGGTGGAGGCTGACTCCATACACAGTTTCAAATGTAGATATTATAGAGACCAATAGCACCAGTTGATTGACAGTTGAGGGGCGGGGCCAAAGAGCCAGAGCTCAACCCTCGCAAGCACAACTAGGTGAGTTAGGTGAGTACCAACCTATCCCTTAATAGGAAATGTAGATGTTTATCTCTCAGAATGTTTGGTAATAAAATTTGGTAATAATTTTACAAGATTGTAAGTACTATGCTATGTATTCTCTCTAACCCAATGTACCTTCTTGTATATAAATGAATAAATAAATAAATAAATAAATAAATAAATAAATAAATAAATAAATAAATAAATAAATAAATAAATAAATAAATTAATTAAATAAATATGTTTATTGTTTGTGATGTGTGTTTATGTATGTATTAACACGATGTACTGAACGGGGTGAGAATAGCTTGAGCTACCTCATCCCTTTGTGTGTATTTTACCTCAATAAACTTATTTCAATTTCAAATTCAATTTCAATCCCTTATTAATCTCCCCCCCCCCCCCCCCGCTGCAGCTGGTGCGGTGGTTCCGGCAGCGGCCACCAGAGGGCAGGGCGGCGGCGCAGCGAAAGTGTAAACAGTGAGTCATCTCCACTACCTTTGTCTGCCCTTTTAACGCGCGATTCCTCCCTCCAGCGGTGACTACCTCACTCTCCAGCTCCCTGGTGAGGCCGGTGAGGGTGAGTGGCCCGAGTGGTTGTGAGGGGAAGGACGAGAAGTGAGGGGTGAGGCGGGCTAAGAGTGAGGGAGGTGCCGTGGGCGTAGACACTCGAGGTAGCAAGAGTACCCTCGTATCAACACTTTATATCTTTTTACACCTATCGCTACACCCTAGTCAGGGTTACAGTTAGATCATTCCTCTCATAATTTTAGATATAGATAGTGGTGGGAGCAGTAGAGGTGTGAGAGTGGAGTTATTACACGAGGTGTTTAGTGTTAATGGAGTTCTGTAGGGTAGTCAACTAACAAATGCTTCTAACTGCACACACACGGCTTTGTTCCCCCTCACTAACAACAAGAATTACCAAACTACCACATTAAATATACTAAAGAAATTGTTAACGACTTTTGTTAGGCCAAAGCTAGAATATGCAGCGGTTGTATGGTTCCCATATCTTAAATACATCAACAAACTGGAAAATGTGCAAAGACATGACACTAAGTGGCTCCTAGAACTGAAGGGCAAGAGTTACGAAGAGAGGTTAGAGGCATTAAATATGGCAAAACTAGAAGACAGACGAAAAAGAGGCGATATGATCACTATCAATATACTATGTACAAAATAGTAATGGGAATTGATAAAATTGATAGGGAAGAATTCCTGAGATCTGGAAATTCAAGAACAAGAGGTCATAGATTTAAACTAACTAAACAAAGCTGCCGAAGAAATGTGTAAAAATTCACTTTCGCAAATAGTGGTAGACGGTTGGAACAAGTTAAGTGAGAAGGTGGTGGAGGCCAAAACCATCAGTAGTTTCAAAGTGCTATATGAAAGTACTGGGAAGACGGGATACCACGAGCGTAGCTCTCGTCCTGTAACTACATTTAGGTAATTACACGGCAAACTGTAAAAAGTAGTCTTCACATTTTAAAGTGAAGCCTCAGTAATTAATTTCACCGGAACAGTCAGAAAAAAACATTATGAAGTACTATACTGTATAGGTTGGTAAAATGCAAAACATTAATTTTATAATAATTCATTGTGTCAGGGGCAGGAAGCCAAAGTGTATTCATGCACAGTAGACTTATATCAAGGTTCTCCCTCCCCCCCTTCCATCCCCAAAGCTAAATTACTGACTCCGCCCAGGATGCAACCCTACAATAAGCTGACTAACTCCTGTGTACCTACTCGCTGCTACGTGAATAGAGGCATTATGTGAAAGAAAGTGTCGAACCATTTGTCCCACCCAGGATTCGAACCTGGAATACTCGAATGTACGTCGGGAACAAACCTGACTGTACTACCAGAACCCTTAATGAAGATGTACACTAATTTTCCTTAATATAGTCTCGTACTGCCTCAACTAATTACTGTGTAGCCAAATGGCTAACCATCCTATAGCTTAGGAACGATTAATATTGCCAATAAATAACATGATCAGAAAAAGTTGCCTCTGAAAGACTACATGGAAGTCTTTACCTAATACTCTTAGAAATGCCAGCATAACTCCAATCCAGAAAGGTGGAGAATCTACTCGCATTATTCCCAGCTTGGTGCCGCCTTTGGTAATTACTTTAATAATTATCAACAACTACAGTATAAACCAATATACATCTTGCCCATATTATCTAAAATTTAAAAGATTTATACACAAGCAGCTTTACTCCTTCCTAACTAGGCATAATATACCAAGTCCCAACCAATATGGCTTTAAACCCCCAAAAGAGCACCAATGATTCTATAATAAAAATTTTTGATTTAGTACACTTGGATAAAAAGAATAGCCAGTGAGGCTACTCATTAAACTTTGATAGGCCCTGATAAGACCATAATATGTTTGTCCTTTTAATTTTTTCAGATAAGTGTGAAGTACAATGAGGTCAGATCAGGTATACCAGCCCACCACCACCACACTGACCTATGACCGGAACAAGGCATGGGTCCCTTCCTTCCTGGCCCAGAGCTCCTCGGCAAGTTTATGGTCACGCACGCTGGTCTTGATCATCTCTGTCATGTTTGCAGTCATGGGAATGGTTAGTTTCTTGATCTTAATTGATATGTAAGTGCAGAATTTTATTACCAGATGTGGACAAGAAGAGTTAGAGAATGCTTCTGAAAACTAAATTTATTTTAGAACTATATCATTTTGATTCACATATGTGGCACAATCGTAAAATGTTTCATTGGACAGGATCATGAAAGTCACGACAGAATAGCATTCTACAATTAAGCACTTTTGACCACTTCAAATGCCCCTGTTGCTAAGTATAGACTGAAGAAAAAGCTCAATCTAGCTTAGTTAAAAAAATAAAATTCAATCTTAAAAACTGAAAGCCTTTACAAGCCCTGCTTGTCACCACAAGGTCTAGCTAGTAGTGCTCACAGCAAAGTGCTAGTTTTCTGACTGACAGCTTTCCCTGACTACTACCTACCAGCACTCTTGACAATCCCACATCCTCAACTTCAAGCTATATCACATTCTTTCTGACTAGCACCCTTAGGCAAGGTTAGCAAATGATCATGGGTGTAGGATAAATAGATTGACTGATATACATGACTGCTGTCAGAGGGCATCCCAGGTCAGGCCCCCGGAGGTCTTGACCATTCTAACCTTCACTTTCCTTTGTGGTCCCTGGTTCACCACATTTTTGTTATGAAAATGCTTTTCTTCATCCTAAACAATCAGTTTTTTGCAATAAATGAGAAGAGTGCACTCTTGAGAGTGCACGAGAGCCGGTCGGTCGAGCGGACAGCACGCGGGACTTGTGATCCTGTGGTCCTGGGTTCGATCCCAGGCGCCGGCGAGAAACAATGGGCAGAGTTTCTTTCACCCTATGCCCCTGTTACCTAGCAGTAAAATAGGTACCTGGGTGTTAGTCAGCTGTCACGGGCTGCTTCCTGGGGGTGGAGGCCTGGTCGAGGACCGGGACGTGGAGACACCAAAAGCCCCGAAATCATCTCAAGATAACCTCAAGATTGAGTGCATATCTTGATTAGGATCCGGTGGTGGATTTGCCCCAACTTTAAGAAGAAAAGTTATTGTACCATAGTGCCATGCTCTAGTCTGCATCTCGCAGCTGCAGTGCAGTGGTAAAGTACAGTCAAGTAAAGTGATCTTGACATACATAAATTTGCATTTTTAGTGAAATTGTGTTTTGATATTCTCCCCCGATGGGGAGGGTCGAGTCAAACTCTATTCTTATACCTTTCCAAGATTTTTTTAATGTGCTGCAAATGTGTAGCTTTGGGGGGGGGGGGTGGCTTTCTTCCAGCTGGATATTTTCTTGTCTGACAGGACAAGGGTGCTGGGATTAATAGCTTTTTGCCTGCTGGATGTTTCTTGCCTCTACAGCTTCTTCTTGCAGCACAGGTGAAGTTTTACCCAGTTTTATTGTTTTTGATTGTAGCATGCTACAATATTTGCCTTGGAAGAGAACCGAGTGACAGCTCAGAAATCAGATTTTGAGTTCTATATTGTATATGGAAAGCTGTGTATGGAATACCTTCTTCCCAATTTTCAGTTTGTATTTTTTGGGACTGTTTTTCTACTTGATGAAAGTGGAGAATGGAATAAATATGAGGAGGAGGATTATGATGTTATACACACACTAGATAGAGCTTCGGCCTCGCACGGATGGGGTCCACGGTTCGAGTCTCCTAGAGTCCAGGTGAATGGAATGGAGACTTTGCAAAACATTCAAACATTATCTTTGCCATTTGGCCTTGGGCAGTTTTCTTCTTTCCTATTAACTCGGTGGAAAGAAGAAAGTTCTTACCTGCCTTTCGCCTTGCATTCGTACCTTGTATGTCGACTTCCTATCACTCTTTCTTTACACGATTTGAAATGTCTTCACTTCCTCTACTGTACTATATTTTCAGATGCATGGGTATTTGAAGAAAAGCTTTGTAAAATTGTTTATCTTACACAGGTGATGATCATTGTTGGAGCAACGTCCTATCAGTCCTTGGGGGAGACGGGGAAGGAAGTAAACAGTACAGCCTACATAATCATCCTTTGTTTAGGAGTGCTCCTGGAATTTGCTGCGATATTAGCCATCATCTTCTATATGAGGTGAGCTGGTAGCCCATTATCACACTCAACAGTAATAATAATATGATTATTATTTGTTATTACACAGAGAAATCACATTAACGTGATACTATATCAAAGAACAAATCCATAGGATCCTCGATGAGAGTTTGAACCAATGCACTGGGTTAACTAGAGTGCGTCTGGGAACACTCGGCGCATAGGTTTGAACCCTCATTAAGGCTCCTGTGGATTTGTTAATTATTATTATTAATACAGTACTTTATATACTCATACTGATAATGCAGTTTAGCGAGATTTGCTTGACCTGGCTTAATAGAACCCAGATGCAACAGAAGGATTTCATTCTGGTCATGAATCCCGGTGCAACAGAAAACATTCTGGTCGAGAAGTGTTGCATCTACAATGTGGTCTCGGAAAATGCAAACTTGCGTGTGATAAAAATGGTCTGGAACAAATTAAATGTTTAAGTGTAGTCCCATTGGAAATAATAATTTTCATTGTGGATCTTTGTCCAGTATGTCCACGCAATATTTTGTACTGTGGTACAGTATACTGTATTAGTATTTACATGGATTTATTATATTTTAAAGTCATAGGTGGTAGTAATATTGGTTTATAGAAGGAAATAAATTTAGGGCAAATTTAGCTGTCATTGCCATTCCCAGTATATTGCCAAAAGTGAAGTGTTGTTTTAAATTACTTGTTGCAGGTACAGTATTGCATCAATACTAATATTATTTTATTGTTGTTTTAATTATTATTACGTTATACTGTAATCTTGAATGTTTTGATAATTTGTTTATACTGTACATGTTAAATGTAATTTCTCTTATTTTAGAAATATGGGATACTACATTCCTTGTTGTCCGGGCAAAATTGCACGTATCAGAAAACGTCTTCATGAAAACCAAATGATGGTCAATGGACAGGTGAGAAATATATCTAATTTATATTTTACCAATATTCCATACTTTATATTTAAATTAGTTATTTCTGTAGATATGGTTATGCTAAGTCAGAGCAGGTCAATATTCTACTTTGGCACAGCGGGGACCTGTTTATTCTATCCCTTCCAGGTGAAATTGGTATCAGGTAGACTGGAGAGTTGCATTTGCATCCCAGAATGACCTCCAGTACATTCATAAACACTCAAAAAATCTTTCTGAAGTACTAATTGACATCTCGGAGACTGATAGGCAGCACTCGCTAATTACTGGATGGCCCCGCCAGGTTTCTGCCCTTGACTGCTACCTAGTCACCTCACCAGGTTGCTACCCCTGACTGCCACCTGGCTGGTAACATCTAGCATCAACACCGATTATGTTGACTCGAGCCACCACACATTCTTCCCGTTTTTTTCGGTGCCAGTTGTGGGCCTGGTAGGTACATTATAGGAATTCTTTTAAGTGACTAGCTGTTTATCCATAGCATAAGGAAACAATCTTTCTGTGTGTATTCACTTGTATGTAATTACCTAAGTGTAGTTACAGGATGAGAGCTACGCTCGTGGTGTCCCGTCTTCCTAGCACTCTGTCATATAATGTTTTGAAATTACTGATGATTTTGGCCTCCTCCACCTTCTCACCTAACTTGTTCCAACCGTCTACCACTCTGTTTACAAAAGTGAATTTTCTTATATTTCTCCGGCAGCTTTGTTTCATTAGTTTAAATCTATGACCTCTTGTTCTTGAGGTTCCGGGTCTCTGGAATTCTTCCCTATCAATTTTATCGATTCCTGTTACTATTTTGAACGTAGTGATCATATCGCCTCTTTTTCTTCTATCTTCTAGTTTTTGCATATTTAATGCCTCTAACCTCTCCTCGTTGCTCTTGTCCTTCAGTTCTGGGAGCCACTTAGTGGCATGTCTTTGCACCTTTTCCAGTTTGTTGATGTGCTTCTTAAGATATGGGAATCATACAACCGCTGCATATTCCAACTTTGGTCTAACAAAAGTCGTAAACAATTTCTTTAGTATTTCTCCATCCATGTATTTAAATGCAATTCTGAAGTTAGAAAGTGAAACATAGGCTCCTCGCACAATGTTCTTAAATTAATGTGGTCTTCAGGTGACAGTTTTCTATCTAGAACCATCCCTAGATCCCTTTCTTTGTCAGAATTCTTTAAAGTTTTCTCACATAATTTATAGGTTGTGTGGGGTCTATATTCTCTAATTCCAGATTCCTAACATGGCATTTATTCACATTAAATTCCATTTGCCAAGTGTTGTTCCATATACTTATTTTGTCCAGGTCTTTTTGAAGGGCATGACAATCATCTAGGTTTCTTATCTTCCCTATTATCTTAGCATCATCAGCAAACATGTTCATGTAATTCTGTATTCCCACTGGTAGATCGTTCATGTAGACAATGAACATTACTGGTGCAATAACTGAACCCTGTGGTACTCCACTCGTGACATTTTTCCAATCCGATACCTTGCCTCTGATTACGGCCCTCATTTTTCTGTCGGGAAATTTTTTATCCATGTTAGAAGCTTACCTATCACCCCTCCAATATGTTCGTTTCCAGAACAATCTCTTATGGGGAACTCTGTCGAAAGCCTTTTTTAGGTCCAGAGATATGCAGTCAACCCAACCATCCCTTCCTGTAAAATCTCTGTGGCTCGATCATAAAAACTGAGTAAGTTCATTACACAGGATCTTCCAGATCGAAAACCATACTGTCTGTCTGATGTTATATCGTTTTCCTCCAGGTGTTCTACCCATTTAGTTTTAATTATTTTTTCCAATATTTTGACTATTACACTTGTCAATGATACAGGTCTATAATTAAGGGGGTCTTCCCTGCTTCCACTTTTGTAGATTGGAACTATGTTAGCCTTTTTCCACACATCAGCTACAATTCCTGTATACAGGGATGCCTGAAAAATCATTTGAAGTGGAATGCTAAGCTCAGGTGCACATTCTCCGATAGTCAGTCTGATATTATATCGTTTTTCTCCAGGTGTATTCTTTTTCTCCAAACTAACCCATTTAGTTTTAATTATTTTTTTTTCCAATATTTTGACTATTACACTTGTCAATGATACAGGTCTATAATGTGTGTGTGTAAACATGTTATTGTGCATGTGTCTTGGATTTTTAAATTGAATAGCTTTGAGAGTTATCTTCTATGTTGTTGGGTTTTGTTACTGCTGCATTGGATATCTTGTATTGAGAATTACACTTATCACATGTGAATACCACATGTGAATCCTTGAAACATTGTTCTGAAATGTGGGCAATTGTGCTGTGCACAGTTTTCTTATAATAATTACGTTCAGTTGCTATGTTATCCAAGCATGGATGCACAATCCTTTATCTAACCCCAGGTCACGTCCTGGCAAGTTTTCACGAGTTAGGGTTAGTGTAGAGCTTTGAACCCTGTTACCCAGTTCTCTTCCTCATTCTGTATTTTTAGGGTGGAGGCTTTCGGTGTCCTGTTAGTGGCCTTGGCTATTATTTTGGCAAAATTTGGATTGGTGTAGCAAGTTGGATTACAGTAAGAGGTTTTTGTTTCCTAATGTGCATGTATATTATATTGCATAGCACTTTCTATGACTGTAAATGTTTAACCTTTGGACACAATACATTCATTGCACTATTTGTAGTAAAGGAAAAAAAACCACTTAAGCACATACAAATTAACTAACATTTGAACCATGACTCATTATGATTGTAAATCATTATGTAATTAACTGCAAGGGAAATTTATGCATGCTAACCTCTTCAAGCAATTACTGGCTAACCCGAACCATGCTTAAGGCAATTTACACGCAACATCTTGTCTCAAAATGATCAGTATAACAACAATCTATATAAGCCAGGCAATGGTATGCAAATTTGGCAAAAACTGAGCTTGAAACATAAAGGAATTAGAATTTAATTATGAGGCTACTCCCTCATTTATATCAACCCCACAAGGAATATGAATTAAAAAAAAGTGGGTGCAGGGAACTACTGAGGCCATCCAGAAAAAGCTCTTTTATTTTATAGAATGACTGATTTCCGAGCTGGCCCTTGATAACTTCCCTGTGCATATTCCCAATAATGCTCTCGAAGAGGGAAACTGCTTTTTGGACATTGAAATGCTAATAAAGTAAAACAAAGACATTTGGCTGACAAATAGAGAAGGAAGGCCAGGGCTTGAGAAAAGAACTATGACTGGAAGTGTCCCAATGCCTTAAAAGACTAGGAATGTACAAGAAGATAATGAACATCCGACACACTGCTAGAGTTCCAGAAACCTCAAGTCTGAATGTTATTTGTGGAGATCAGAAAAGAAAGCAGTGCAGTAATAGCAGCATACTTGCACACAACATGTGTAGGTGGATACACATCAGCAATATTAACATTTACACAATATTAATATCTGTTTGAGACCTGTATAGCATTATTTGTATGCATCATATATTGTACTTTAATATTACTTTAGCTCAACATTATAGGTAATAAGTATATACAGTCTTACGAAAAAATATTCTGGACCAGTACTTAAAATTCTCCTGTGTAGTATTGATATCTTGAATACTGTATTTCAAACACAATTTCCATTGTGCCAAAAGCTTTGAGGAAAATGAGCATTAGCTGTTGGGTATAATTTCATTCATGATAGCTTTTTTTTAAGAATTGGTTAAATGCTAATAAGACTATGTGCATTCGCATGAGCAGCTCTTTACCTAAAGCTTGTTGGTTATGAAATGGAAAATGAGGGAGTGACACCGGATGTGTACACATTTGCAGATGGTGAGCACGGGTGAACCAGTTTCGGCCCAGTACTGCCCTCCGTCACACCCTGGGGTCGGCAGCACTCCACCACCACCATACACTGATGTGTCGGAGGAACAACGACTCATGGAGGACAAGATTGATCTTGGGTAAGTTTGTAATTGTAAAAAAAAAAAAAAAAAAAAAAAAAAAAAAAAAAAACTGAAGTACTGTACTTGTGGTTTTATTTTTTTTATTTCTTTTTCTATTTTTGATATGAATACTGTATCTTGATTCCTATAGCATTTTAACCTATAGCATAAAATGCTTGTGCTGGCTACCAATAACAGCTCAAACTATGTTGCCATATATTAATTTCGGTAATACTGTATATATTGAGGGCATCATCATATTGCTACAGTATTTGCAAATGGGCAATAAATAACTTGAAACACATACCTTCCTCAAAATAAGACTGTGCTTATGGTTAGGTATCGTCAGAGATTTTCCCAACACTGCAAAAATAGGCAGATACTGTACTGTGCTATTAATTCATAATTACAGCTCTGTTCTTTACCTAGATTATTCTTGCTATACAATAAGTCGGTGCCTTCATAATGACTGCCTCGGTCACCTTTTGTACAGTGACGACACCGAACGCATCTTGGAAGAAGACCCACGTATTGTCTTGACTCCCCTCAAGCCTCATGAGGAGTGTTAGAACTTTCACCCAGTAATGTGTTTGGTAAACCCACCCTTACCACAAGTAAGTAGCTAAAGTACTGTCACGTTTAATGTTCCTGTATGCTTGAATTTTTGTACTGGAACCTCTTGTCTGGTATTTTATGTTTGTCTAACTTTAATAAATGTTGGCTGCTCTACTCTACTTCTCCTCTCTACTTCTCTACTTCTCTCTCTTTTTTTCTTGCTTGCTTGCTTGCTGTGCCTTTTTTACTTTTTTCTCACTACTTTCTACTCATTAAACAAATTTCCCATTACCTGAATTTACTTGAGGGGTCACTAACACAATAGTGGCCTTGACAAAGACAGGAAGCTGGCATCTTGTCAAAGGTCCTCCCTCTCATTTATCCTGAGGATTTTTTCAAGTTAGATTTTAAAGTTAAACATAATTTTGGCATTTATGCCTTTGACGGGTAGGCGGTTTCCTGGGTTTATAACTCTGTGGGTGAAAAAGCATCTTCTGTTTTTAGTACTACATTGTGACTTGTTGGCTTGTATGTGGTATCATCTTGCATTTCATATACAAATTTCTCTTAAGAATTTGAATCTGTATTTGTCAAGGTTAAAATATGTTGCCACATGTGAGCAACTCGTTGCAGCAGTAGGGCATCGAACTAGGGGTCCCAGTTAACACCAGGTTACACGCCACACCATATAGGCTAGTGCTTCAATGATTTTCTCATAGATATATTACGTTATTGTTGAGTTATTTCTTTGTGTATGTGTTGCCCATGTTAGGTTTCATCCACTTTTAGAATTTTCAGATATTAAAGAGCTGTAAAATCTCTCTAGTCAGACAGGTGAAATTTACGCTCACTTGAAGGGGTCTTGACATGGTTTTTTTTCTCCTTTTAAGAACATGTTCCCGCATACTAATGGCTTTAACAGATTAATCTTTATTTATTTATTTATTTATTTATTTATAGGAAGGTACAATGGGTTTGTGAGATTACATAATATTGGAATTTATACATTCTTGCAAAGCCACCGATACGCATAATGTTATTTTTATATTTAAATACTAATTGTAAATATGTAAAACACTTTTTTTTATCTTTAAATACTAATTGTTCAACAAATATTATTTGTTGCAATTTAATTGACTTTAGTATTTTGTCTTTATTTGTACTAGAATTTAGTTTGTTTTATAGTTGAATGTTTTTGCTTCTTACAGCTCATTCTGGTTACTGAGTTGGTGGCTAGAGGATGGGAGTGATAGCTGTGCCTGGCGTCTTTGCTCCTCTGGCCTCCACAGATACTTAAACACCAAGTCAGCTTGCCGAGTTGAGCTTGGGAGTCTACATTCACGACAAAGGAGGGAATCTTTGTGCTTAATGTAACTCGCATTCCCAATTTTTTAAGACTTTAATATCTGAACCAAAGGAAGTCAAGAAATCTGCCTAGGTAATGTAGTGTGTGCTATTCTGCATTCCATATTAACACTCCAGCAATGATGGACTACTTGAAACAATATTTTATCTTGTAAACTGCATGTCATAATGGCAATTTATTTTAAGTATAAAACCTTACTTCTAGGTTAGATATTCTAGTTATGGTAGGATAGTTTTTTTTTTATTCATTATATATAAATCCTGCCAGCTCTTTAAAGAATATAAGGCAAAAAGTCTCTATTCCAGTAAGACATTATTTGATTGAAACATACAGTACAGTACTATAGTTTGGCCTCGTGTATATTATACCCATGGCAATATTTTTGTAATGTATTCACAGTATGATAAATATATATAGTTATGACTAGTCTTGAGTCAAGAAGAGATGTTCTAGAAATGGTAATGTTGTAATTAGTTCTTTGAGACCTATTTTTGTAATGAAATACTAAATTCGGTGGAATAATATGCTAGTTACCGACTTACTATAGCGATGAGTATACAGTACAGTATTTCACATAATTGGCCTTAACTGCTGGGAAGTTAAGAGGCCACCCTAAGAAACCATTATGTTAATAGAGTAATGGGTGTAAAGAATGTTGCTGTTGATGCCTAACAAATGACTAATAATTGGGTTGCCAATTATACTTTATCAGGAAGTTGATGATGTCTTTGTGAAGATTTTAGAGCAAGAGGTGGGGTGCTCTTTAACTAAATTCTAAATTTGTTCGGTATAAGGCCTAAGGCCATTTACTTTTTCTTTTTCCATACGATGTATATATATATACAAACACATGGGAGGCTTCTGGTTCTGTGTGGGGGTTATGCCGAGTTCCTTGATAGACTTTGGAAAACTGAGCCACATATTTTTTTATGGGATCAATATATGGTCAAAGTAAGTGTTGTTTCGGGACTAAATTTTGTTTTTAATATAAAATGCTACAAATGTACCGTAATTTTTTTTAGCTCAATGCGCCACAATGAAATTTATTGGACTGTTTATCTTAATATTATTAACGTTTACTTATATAATTGGTATGCAAGAAGAATTTTGTTTAAAATAGTTTTGTTTCTTTAAAGTGGTGAAATATTCACATTTTGCATTTAAGGCATAAATAAGTTAAATAAAACCACAATTATTGATACTGACAACTCAAAAGTAGCATGAAACAGAGATGAGCTTGATAAAGATCATTTTTATCTAGATTTTTATCCCAAGTAGATCACTTGTTCCTCGGTGGAATTCTTGGTGAATCGGATACTGTACTTTTGATATCGTTCGCCTTGTACGTTTCTGTTCTTGTATTGGCATCCTTGGTGATATTTAGCGCCCTCTGATTATTCTGCACATTTGATGGTGCTACATAGCCTTCCCGGTTTGGTGCCTTCTTTTGATAATTACTTACTTATCCCAAATAGAAAAACTTATGTAGAACCATGCTATGCAGAACCAGGAGTCTACTGTAAACACTTGCAAGAAATAAGGGGAAATAGATGCAAATTTCAGGGATCGTTAAAACTATAGTTGTCCACGTCAGTTGTATGTGTATATTTGATCAAGTTCCTGGAAACACTGGTCAACCGTCCATTGAAATGCTTACCATTCCACTATAAAATTTTCTCTGCCCTGTTAGCATTGTAAGTGTTGTTAAAAGTATTAACATAAGAAAAATTGATTAAGATATTAGCGAAATCCTTGATGATACAGTATATATTTCCACACTCTCACACACTCACACTCATACACTTAAACTCACTGCATTTGCAGAATATTCCACTATTATTTTATTACTGATCACTTTGGAGCCTTCAGGTGTCCAGGACATAGTATGTAAACAGACACTTGAATTGAAGAAAACTTTTGAATTGTTATAGTTTTGCCAAATTGTGTCCAAGTGCATAATCACGTGTGGAATTATATTTGGGAGTTTATCTTCATACTTACTTGGCGGCATCTTGTAAATTTTTAATTGACAATAATGCTGAAAAATATTAGACATAATTGATGCTCTTCTTAGCTTTTTAAGTAACTCTTACTCAGGAGCAAGAAATAGTGAAACAGAAAATGGTAGGGTAGAATTCATGGCTTGGCGATATCTTGAGGCACCTGTGGTAGACTGTTATTGCGATGGGCATGAATTTTTATATATAGCAAAGATTGCATATAAGGTGGAGGCTATTTGTAATATAGGTAATACAGTATAGTTATTTTTAAATTTTTTTTAAGGAAAATTGGAGCCTAGGGTGAATGGGGGAAACCATCAGTTATACGAAGCACATGTTTATGATTGTAAGGGTAAAGATGGCATTGCAATAAAGAGGCCATAAATGTTAATATACTTATGTAAAAGGATGAAGTAAACTGCCTTGTGTTTTTGGGAAATGTATTTACAATTTTTACAGTGCATGGAATAAATTCTAGAGCATAATATCCAGAATATCAAAAGTATAAAAGTGCAGTTTAAAAAATAAACTCCGGGATTCGTTTTACGATGTGATTCCTAAAAAAACTGAAATTAATACTAAAATGGAATGCAAGCTAACATAAACACGCCAAGGGATGCAATCTAGTTGACAGAGCTTAACAAAATTAATTGCTTCCCCATATATTGCAGATAGCCTTTTTTTTTGGGTATGTAAATAAGTGTTAATACATTTGCTTGATAGCCAAATCTTTTGGGAATGTAGACAAATTCATAAAGATGTCTGCTACAATTATGTGAATGCTGTTTATTTTGAGTTGAGTTAAACAAAAAATAAATAAATAATCATAGCTTGCATAGTATTGAAGTAGTGCCTAATTTAGTAATACAGTATAAAAATAAGTGTGTATTTTCTCAGGACTGACATTTTTGTTATTAAAAATGTGTTGGTTATTTCCTCGTTTAACTTTGTGGACAATGAAGTAAAGATGGCTTCCAGATTATCAGTATTGGTCAGGAGAATGTGTCAATGAGCTAGAGGTGAATTTGTATTAATGTGTAATGTTTTATGTACATACAGCAAAGTCTCTGTCTTCTGACGATGCATCTGTAATTGCTTTAAAGTATTTACTAGTGGGTGAAGTTCATGCAAGACGAACTAAAACTATATCCAATACCGTCTTTTTACCCGGGGTAAATTGTCCAGGGCAAATTATCTAGCAATATAGTAATGTTTCATAGGTGATGATATTCTTTTATGTTTTTAGCTTACATTAAGTTTTGTTTTTTTTAAAGTCTTGAGGTTCGAGGATTATTATTTATAGCAATATTTTATAAGGTCAATTAATAATTGTTGCAAGACATTGGTAAAATGTGTTATGCAGAGAGAATAATTGGTGTGTTTTTGTGTGCTCACACTATGGGGCGTGCAATGGTATAGTGTTGTCTGTCCAACACTATACCATTGTATAGTGTTGGACAGACACTGTACAATGGTATAGTGTATTCTCCCCCTCTTTTTTTTTGGAGGGGGGGGGGAAATGACAATGGCTGGTGACAGTATCTCATCAGATTTCATCTTGATACTAAATAGCATACTATAATGCATGGACCAAATTTGATAAGTGGGTCATTACTATTATTTTTTTTTTTTTTTTGCATGGGGTGAAGGGGAAGGGGGTGGGGGGGGGCAACTTTGAGTGATGCACTTCATATTGCAAAACTAGGCTTATGACTGCTGCTTAAATAAGTCTAACATCATATTTTTTTTTAAGAATATGCTGCATGTGACAACTTTATTTTAATTATTTTATAGGAAATCTCATATGCATAATAGATGTTTAAATAATTGATAGTCATTATTTTCATGCCATTTCTGCTCTTAGATTACTTGCTAATTTAATACACAAATATTTAGTTGATAATTTGCAAGTGCACACAAAAATTATTCATAGATGCTTGACGTTTGTGCCCAAGTCTACAGAAGCGATCAGCATGTTTTGCGTGTTTTCAAGATCTCCATGAAAATATGAAAAGTTTGAATCTCAACATTGAGACAGTGAAGATGCATCATTTAATGTTGCACAAATCATGATAAAATTCATCTTGAGTAGCATCTCTCTACCACTCCAGTGCTTACAGCCAGAGGCTCTCTTTGTCTCATTCTTGTAGCTTACTTTCAGTTTTGTTCAATTATCTAATAAAGGTGATTGAATATGCAGTGTCGTGAAATTCCGTCCAATTTCATGCAATGAACTTCTATAGTTGCTACGAACTACGATACATGACACACCATTATAATAAGAGAATTATTGTTTATGCAGTTTTATGATTACTGTACATAAATTTTCTAGATATATTTTCATTGAAGAATTTGTTGTGTCTTTAGCTTTGATGTGCTATAGGGATTTGTTTTTATTTTTGATGAATACTAGTTGGATCTGTTGTGGAAAAAAGGTGTTCAAAAAGATTTTTTTTTAAGTTGTCAAGTACAGGATAAAAGAGAATTTTATGACCATTAGTGCATGGGAGTGAACTGGTACAGAATGTCAGTCTTCATAATGATGAAATAAAGTAAAACAATTTATATTGCTGCTTAAATAAGTATTTAAACAACAAATTTTGCTGTTTTGTTGTATGATAAATTATTATATAAATGTAGCTTAAAGAGAACAGAAAAAAAAATTTGTTTGTGTTACTTGAATACGGACTGTATAGTGCAAATTTAAACCGCTGTTTCCCGAACTGTGTTGTTTGCCCATGGTGGTGTCGGTGATCGAGGCATATGCACAACCAGTGTATATAATGTCAGTGTTTTGTTCTTTATGGGTGTGAGCGTGACCTGATGATTATGTGCTAGGTCTCGTGCTCATAGCAGCATGCTTTGAAGGTTTAGTTATGTACATATGTATAATGATGTATCCCATTGTCACGTTTAGCTTGTTTCAATTGATTAACATGAATAGTCTTCACTTGTCTGAAAGTAGAAATGGCAAATTCTAATTTAATTTCATGAAAAGGTGTTTTTAAGTGCCCCCCACTTTTTTTTTTCTTTTAAGGTTAGCTCTCATATGTTTGCCAAAAAGTTGCTTTTTGAAATACCAATAAAAATAGTGTTAGTATACCTTAACTGAAATTAAAAAGTCAAACATGCTAGGCTGCAACAATTACATGTTGTGTATATGTGTAAATAATTTTCATTTGCATTTTTTTTATAAAGCTAAATTGACTAATATTGCTACTGCTGTTAGAGGTATACATAAGGCATAGATTACATTTACAATGTTTGAGAAAGTAAGCAACTGACAGTGGAGAATATGCATACCATGGCTTCAGGGAACTTTGACAGACTTGTATCAGTCAATGTTCTAGTTATATTAAATAATGAACACTATGATATTATAATTCATCAATGCAGTGATATTTATTTTTCTTGTTAAATGTAATGTTATTGGTAATCATTGATAGTCATTTAGCTTTAATTGTAATTATCTTTAACAAAAACGGCTATGAAATCTTCAATTTTGTATCGGGTTTCCACTACTGTTAAATATAAATGCATCAGAAATATATAATTTACTACCTTAAGGTATAATGTTTACCCATGTGTATAAGAGGCTTGCATGGTGAATGGGAGGCATGTGAAATGCTAGCCATAATACACAGAATTGTGTGGAATAGGTCATGAAAGATTCTATAATGTAGAGGAGGCACTGTAGGTCTATGTAACAAGTCTCGTGTTTTCAAAAGTCTGCGAAAGTTCTTGGCAAGATGTGCCCACTTTCCACCCTATTAAGAGCCTCCTCACCTTGTCTTGTACTGTATTACTAGTGTTCCTGAAATTTTTATGCAAGACCACCAAAAGCCAATTTTTTGATAGGACTGGTTACCTGATGTGATCTTCTAGACGTCTTCATTCTTACATGATGTGCAAAAACAACTTGTACATTTGCCTCCTTCCCTTCCTTCCCTAGTCTACATAAACTCTTTGCAGAAGCATTATTTCAAACTGTAACTGAAAATAGACTGCAAAGGTAGAGGTCTTTGTATTTTTGTAATTTGAATACCTTAAACACGATATTGATTATTACATTTTAGTCATGAAACTGATACATAAATGTATTGGAAACATTGTTGCAGTGTCTTATGTGTAAAGTATATTTCATATTTTTTATTATGATAGCATAAGGCAAATTTTATGGATATTAGCCTGAAGATTGTGCCTTGTATTGCCATTATATGTGGTCAGCACCCATTTAGTATAAGCAAGATATTTATGTGAATTGAGTAGCCTTAGCTTTTTATAATAAATTTTAAACCGTATCATACAGGATTACAGAGGCACATAATCGGTTCAGGAACTGAACCCTCTAGTTCGTTTAGCTAAGCAAATAACCATTTCTTTTGTATACTGCATCAAGTTAAAATTTTATAGTAAATGAAATTTTAATTATATATATATATATATCTCGATATGTTAAACTATATGCATATTCTCTTTTCCCCAAATTTATTTAATTTTTTTTTTTATAGAGATTTCTAGTTAAGTCCCTATGGAAAGTTTTTGTTTTTTTTCCCCATTCATAGTATTATTCCGTGTGTGTGTGTGTGTGTGTGTGGTAACATTTCAAACAATAGTCATTTTTCAGTAATAATGCTAGCTTTTTTAATTGATGTGCTACATGGCGTGCCGAGCATAGCTCTTTCTTTTGATACTTACAGCTGTTTAAATAAATGCTACCTGGTTTGAAAATGCACTCTATTGTTTTTTGTTGCTAGGGTGTCATCATTGAAGTGTCTTCTGTTGCTTAGTGGACAAGTCAACTGAGTGGCAAAGATTGGGAGAGAGTATGCACTTGGAGAGGTGTGTTGAGGTGTGTAGGGGAGGGGGGGGAGTGTGTAGGTGCAGGTGTGTGTGTGTGTAGGGGTGGGTGTGTGTGGTGGCATAGGACTGCATAGATGAGACTAGAATTGAATGTAGGTACAGTTTAATACAAAACGGCTGTAACTTCTGGTTTTGCTACAATGTATTGCAGGATTTTATGCATATTTTATATCAATATTAATGACACTTCAAGTTCCAGTATTTCAGCTGTTTTTATATATGTTGCAAAACTTTGAAATTTTGAATTTCTTCCATTTCACTTATTTTTCTTAGGTGAAGAGTCATATTTGCCTAAATGAAACATAATCTGAAAAGGTATGGTTTTTCACAGATCATTAACTCTTTAATTTCAGTAAATTTTCAACATCTGGGGTATCAGGAAATACCCCAGATGGATATTTCCTGATACCCCATTTCCATTACTTTAATGGAAAAAATTGCTTTTCCATTAAAAGTTTCAAGTTTTAAATACCATATGCATTAGGTTAAACACTAAATGTGTATTATACTTTGGTTATAATTCTGTCCATTGTAATTGAGGAATATTTTGCAGTACTTTCAAATCTTAAGTAATTATCAGGGCCTTGAAGCTTGGCCAAATATAATGATTTGCTGATGAAGGAAATAAAATTTATCCCCAAGTGTTGTAGCACTTCAGTAAAGCAAAAGTGTTACATTGACCAATCCACACACTAGAAAATGAAGGGACGACGACATTTCGGTCCGTCCTGGACCATTCTCAAGTCGATTGTGATTCTCACAATTTTTCAATCGACTTGAGAATGGTCCAGGACGGACCGAAACGTCATCGTCCCTTCATTTTCTAGTGTGTGGATTGGTCAACATACTTCAGCCACGTTATTGTGACTCATCGCCTGCAAAAGTGTTACATTAACTTGACCACGATAATTTGTATTCAATGTTTGTTTTGAAAGTATATATATATATGTTTTAAGTAATTTTCCATGACACTTGTGCAATTACAATTTTGTTTTGTTAGGAAATATACGGATTGCTCATTCATTTAATTTTAGTTTTAAGAATAACTAGATATGTTGACACATCTAAGCACCTTTATAATTATTTGGACAGGTATGTACAGTATTTGATATGCACTCATTTATTCTATACTGTACTGTCTTTTGTGTTTGATTTATGGGAAGTCAGTGTTTTCCTAGCATTAAAATAAATATTTTTTTATTAATACTGTTATTGCTATTTCTATTATTAATAAAATGATTAGGTTTCATCATCAGGGGAGATACATATGGGTTTTGCCTTGTATTTTTCTGCTTCATTTTCATGCATATTAATTTTTTGTTCACTGATATTTTGAGAAAGCAAATAAATGTACCTGGTAATCTATCCTCGCTTCGTGTGTAATGTTCGTCTGATGCAGGTAGTCCGGGGAGTACAGTAAACCCATTACAGTATGTAGAGTTGAATATTAATAATTTTTTTTTTGTAAATGATCCACTTTTATCTCTAATCAGCAAGGAAAAAATTATGCACAAGAGTTAACTGTATTCCCACTTTCTCATTTATAAAGCATCATTTATTGTGGTTTTTACTTGCAACTCGACCACATGGATTATTATTTTGTCATTTAACATTCCACTTACAATGAATTCACACCAAAACCAGCTGGTAGCACAGTGTGTTTTTTTTTTTTATTAAATTTGTAAATGCTTTTTTGTGGGTTTTGTCTTTACCCTCTCAATAATGCTTGCAGAAGCATTGCATAATATGAGTACTTTTTGACACGGTGCTAAATAGTCTTCCTGCCTTGGTGCCATCTTTTGATAATTACTTACCCTTGCAAGATTTAAATGAACAATGTGACAAGGTAGTAATGTCACTGCACAAGTAAGTACAATGATTATGAGAAACCTTTTTTTTAATAAACTCCAACGACGGCTTCAACTTGTAATTGATGCTGTGACGTCCTGGACCACCAATTGAAATTGAAATAAGTTTATTGAGGTAAAATACACACAGAGAGATGAGGTAGCTCAAGCTATTCTCACCCCGTTCAGTACATCGTGTTAATACATACATAGACACACATCACAAGCAATAAACATATTACCAAACATTCTGAAAGATAAACATATACATTTCCTGGACCACCAATCATGGCTTCAAGTTCTCTACTACTAAGACTTGTGCTATGAATTTCACTCGGAAGCAGGAATATGTATCGAACAGCCTGGTTGATCAGACCACCTACCAGGAGACCGGGCCACGAGGATGATGATCCTCGGAATCATTGACAAGTATACTCGCCTATAGGCAACAGCTTTAAAACATATCCCAAACCAAGTAAACGGTAGTAAATATTTAATAGATAACCTAATTAAGATGCTCGGTTATTATAGTATTATGGAACTAAATAATATTCATATAGTGTTTGATTGTCGGCTGGAAGAGAGCCTCATTGCGTGTAATATAAAATATAAAAGATAATTGAGACAATTATTTGCTCCCCTGATTCCATGTAAAACTAATCATCTTGCGATATATAAATATTAGATGAACTTATAGCTAGTTTTGATCTACACTGTAATTTTTCATATAGAATGTGGTAGCAGCACATTGCTGTGTATACCTAAGCTTAATAATAATAATAAAAAGCCAATCATCGGGCGTAGCCTATCTATAATATTTTCATCTCGAATACGTATTTGCGTCAATATTGAAACAAATAATGAATTGTATATCAATTTAATTAGATAGATAGATTTTTTATTCATGTAGAGGTACATACATTGAAGATGAGTTACAAACATAATGTTAGAATTTAAAGATACAGCTAGTACATAGAATACCTAAAGCCACTAGTACGCATAGCTTTCCGGGCAACAATTGTTTTTTTTTATAATTAACACCAAAGTTTATAAGGATAAATACGCAAGTTTTAAAATTGACAAAATAAAACTAGCGACGTAGTACTCTAGAGCGAAGGCGGTCGTCTGGTGGTGGGCAAGTTAGTCCGCCTCTGCGTTCCTTCAGTTGCCTAAATAAACAACAAAGTGCCAATTCCTGGAGCATGCAGCCGCGGAGAAGGGCCTCTACTGCTTATAGGCTACACCAACCATAAAGGAAATGTGTATATCAACATCAAATCAAATGTTTATTCAGGTAAAGTACATACAAGGTGAGATACAAACATTGATGGATAGAGCTAGTACATACATAGCCTAAAGCCACTATTACGCCAGCACCGCTTCTGTGCCAGGTATGTCCACTACGGGCTCACCATAGCCCGTGCTACTTACCCCGCTCCTGTGCCAGGTAAGTCCACTACGGGCTCACCATAGCCCGTGCTACTTGGAACTTGTTCCGAGTAGCTGAATCTATAACAACAACACTATTACGCAAAGCGTTTCGGGCAGGAAAAACACTTAGACTAAAACTTAATACTGATTGAGATTAAAATATAAATTGTGTTGAAAAAATAAAATAAAAAATAAAAAAAGGGGGGGGGGAGACATGGCAGAAAATAGCAAATATACAACTGTTTGGTCAACAAACAGCATTGTTTAAAATTGTAAGACATGGATTGACATTTGAGGGTAGGGTAGGTTACATGGAGGTAATTAGGTAGGACTTAGTTTTTATCTTAAACTGGTTGGGAGAGGTACAGTCTTTGACATGATTGGGAAGGTCATTCCTCATTCTGGGTCCCTTGATTTGTAGAGCATTTCTAGTTTGATTAAGTCGTACTCTTGGAATATCAAATAGGTATTTGTTTCTGGTGTGGTGCCCATGAGTTGTGTTACAACTTTCTAGGAAGATTTTAAGGTCAGGATTGACATTACAGTTCAGCGTTTTATATATATAAAATACACATGAGAGGATGTGCAGTGACTTAATATCTAACATATTCGAGATTTAAGTAAGGGTACCGAGTGATGTCTGGGGCCAGAGTTAGATATTATTCTAATAGCAGCTTTGTGTTGAGTAATTAGAGGACGTAAATGATTTTGGGTAGCAGAACCCCAAAATCAAATACCATAGGTAAGATAAGGATAGATTAATTATATTTCTGTTGAAATATAGAAATATAGATTGAAGGCGTTTGGCACCGTTACAGATCCGAAACAGACAGGTACTGAGAGTTGTATGTACAAAGCTAACGGCAGAGAGACCCGCAGACAGAATTAGAATACTGAAACAAATACGACAGATGAATAACAAACAGGGCAGAAGGAGGGGAGAACAATCAAATTCCCCTATAAAAGGACACAATTTAATACTTCAGATATGTGCAATCACCCCTCAGTTACGGTCAAAAATAGCACCCGAGCATAATATTTTAAATATCAATCATGTTTAAACTGCATGTCAATGTTTGGGTAAAATCTTCCGTTTTCCCTTATGGTCAAAGTTCCTTATGACAAAATTTAAAGCTTCAATTACATTTTTTATTGACTGCTTTGTGTTATAAGGATTGTTAAAACAACTCTTAATACTGATATTTTAATGCATATATATTTATTGTAACATTTAACGTACACTCATCTTTTACTTTCATTCCTGTGAAGTATATCAACCATTCTGCAGTGAAAATCCATAAAGACATCTCATCGTAAACCATATTTTTGATGTTTTTTTCTTTATTTATTAAAGTTGGTGTTAACAAGAGCGAGGCTGGCTATCTGGACTAGTACTCCTTTTGAAAGCATCTCATTTTTACCAATATCTCACTACTACATAAGCGAGGACACTTTTTTCCTGATGGCAGTAGAAAACTACAGAAAATCCAAGCCGTCTTGTTCAACATGGTTCTTGTTTTAGTGATGCGGCCAAGGAGAGAACTCCACTATGTTCTGAACTCGGCGGCTCCTCCAGTGTAGGCTACCAACGATTGCACAGGGAAAGGGAAAGAGAAAGTTCGACGAAGACGAGAAAGAAGTCACAAGATTGAGAGGTATCCTTGAAGAAGAACAACATTCGTGGGTAATTTACGTGAATTGAATGTTGCCAGTGGGACAGACCTTGCCGGAAGGCCCAACGACGCAGCCAGCACCATCGACGCCATACTGGCCAGGCACGGCAGGGGCCGGCTGTGGATATCAACCTCCATTAGTATTGTGATCATGGTGCGATAACGTAACATTGGCGATGCTTAATTCATAAAAAAAAACACTCATCAACTGTTATTTATAATCAAGTGATCGAGGTTATGTACTCTAGCGAACGGTGGAAGACAAATGATTTATATAAAATGTTGTTTTGGACGGTGAAGTCACTCGTTTGAACATTGTAGAAGCCAAAAGATAATTTGTATGAACAGTGAAAAATCACTGTACATCCGTTGTTGTAAGCAGTGAAAAGACAGTTGACAGGAACAGTGAAGAGGTTAGACAACTGATGACATGATGAATGAAGAAGCCAGACAGCTGATGACATGATGAATGAAGAAGCTAGACAGCTGATGACATGATGAATGAAGAAGCCAGACAGCTGATGACATGATGAATGAAGAAGCCAGACAGCTGATGACATGATGAATGAAGAAGCCAGACAGCTGATGACATGATGAATGAAGAAGCCAGACAGCTGATGACATGATGAATAAAGAAGCCAGACAGCTTATGATATGATGAGTGAAGAAGTCAAACAGCTGATGACATGATCAATAAAGAGGACAGACAGCTGATGGCATAAATAGAGAAAAGGTAGTACACTTCAAATGAGCGTGCAATTTGCAATGAACCTTTACTGATAACAAAGCGTTCAGTCAGTTAATTGAATGGTTAATAACAAACTAATCACAATAAATTGTTGCCATGATCAACACCAACTTATACAGTAGTATATTAATACAAATAATTATTTATATTTTCAAGAAATCTGAAGGGCAAAATACTTGTTGTTTAACACAGTTTCACCTGGAAGCTAGCAGCAGCTCTGGCAGGTTGTCTGAGGGCGTTGATGGCTGCCAGGTGGGCGTGGGCCTGGTTACCCAGGAACGCCCATGCTGGCTGGTTGAACTGGACTGGACCCGAGGGCCCTACCAGGCCGGAGGGCCCAATGACCCCTGAGGGCCCAACGAGGCCAGCCTGAGGCATGGCGGAGGCTGCCGCCGCCAAACACAGCACCGCCTGGTGTGGGAGAACATTCTTAAAGTGTGACAACAATATGGGACCCTCTACGTCATTGTTGCTCTTTAAGCAAACGTAATCTATCCTAATATAACTTAATCTATTCTAAACTAACCCAACTAATCTACCTTAAACTGATACAATCCAACCCAATCTTATGAAATTAATGAAATTTTGTCTTTATATATGGTGCGCGCGAGGTGTAACGTCACTATGCCGTGATAAATTCAATGTTTTGGATCTTGCTGGAGTAAGGGAGGGACTAGAATTCTTAAACTTATGTGCTTTACAAGTGAACCTGTGTTCTAAACAGGGAAGATTCTCAAGTTATAACGGCTTTGCATTGTAAATCGATCGTTTACGATATATAACGTCTATGGTAAACTCGTTTTCTTTGATACAGCCAGAGTTTTCTGTAATCTGAATTCTATGGGAGACTCAAATAGTTTTTGAATTCCATATTTTATATATTTGAGAACGTTACAATGTTTTAACCTAACCTAACCATGGACTGGGCGTAGATAATAGCACTAATTGCGTAGCGCCTTTGAAGTGATTACACTGAGGATACAACCCCTGTGAGAACAGGTTAACGTATTAATAATCATCCTATACATTTTTGACGCAATTGACCCTGGCATAAAAATTGCGATGGTTTAGGGAAAGTAAAAAACCCTTAAAAACCAAATCAAGGAGTTCCTGGATTTGTGAAGCTTCGAAGGCTCCTTTTTCAGATTTTCACAAAAATTGAGAAAGGAGCGGGGGTCGTCTTAACAACTAATTTTCGCCCATGAAAAGTTTCTCAACACCTGTAGATTTCTTTAATAATCAAATTTGGTTACATAAAGATTGTTATTAAAAATATATATTGATATACAACTTTATTAGCTAAAGCCTTCCAGCAAATCACCTTTTACAAATAAAAGAGATGGTATTTCGGAGTATATATGATAAAGCTAAATAATCACCTTTTACAAATGAATTATATATATATGAAAGAGTTGAAAGCAATGCCAAAATAAGTTTAAAACTTACCAAGACCTTCATGTTGCGTGTTGTGAATGTGGTTGAGGAATGGATGCAAGTGGCTGGTGTTACTGCCTTATATACAGGTGGTGCCGTGTGACGTCACGACCCGTTAGCCAATTAGGACACGCCCTAGGAACAAGATGGCGACAATGAGGCGGGAAGAGAAGTCACTCTCACTGATCTATCTTTTTTGTGTGTAATTTTTCTCCTGCTTTTCAAGTTATCTCTGTTGGTGTTTTAGTATATTTGTAAGATCTGATTAAGACGTCTTGGTCTTATAAAAATGTTGTTTAATATAAGTCATTATTATTATTTAACTGTGGTTCAGTTTCATGGATCGTCTCATTATTTAATTTACAATTTCTTGTCGTTCGTATAAACTGACGAAGGAGGTTTTTACGCGCTGAATTACCGGCATGCGGACAAGGTGAACGAAATGATGTGAAGAGCGAGAATGTGATGGAAACATGCAGAAGGACCGGTCCACTCCGGCCATGTTGAAAGGGAATCTGGGCGGCTGGGCTAGGCTGTCCTCACATCTGGACAGGTGTAGGTGGGGCTTTGTTGTTCTTGAGGACACCCCCCCTGGCTACCCTTTCAAGGGGGAAGGGAGGCACACCTGGTTGTCCTTACTGTTGGGGAGAGGGCCACACCTGACCACACATCGTGGAGAGGGCCACACCTGACCACACATCGTGGAGAGGGCCACACCTGACCACACATCGTGGAGAGGGCCACACCTGACCACACATCGTGGAGAGGGCCACACCTGACCACACAAGGCTAGTGTAGCGACTCACTAGGACTAGTCAATAGCTGATAAGGCAATATATTATTTACAGCAGGGCAATATAACGGAAGTGGCTTTTACACAAGGATAATGACTTACAACAGGACTGTTAACCAGCAAGACAATGGTCCAACCCGTCCTCACACAAGGCTGGTTAAAGCAGCGGCTGTCCTCCCCAGACACAATCGACTCACAATCGAATCTCACAATCGACTTGAGAACGGTCCAGGACGGACCGAAACGTCGTCGTCGTCTCTTCACTTTCTAGTGTGTGGTTTGATCAACATATTTCAGCCACGTTATTGTAACTTTTCGTCTGCAACAGTTTATAAGCTCCGAAGCGCTTGGTTATATTATTTTGGTTATAACAGTAATAATATACACTCGATAACCACCTCCCAGCTGGTCCAAGATCGTGTGAACACTTTAACAAACACGACAAAGTCGCCATGCTCTGTTTCCCGGTCCCCGTGTGTTCCGCTGTTTGTTCTTGTTTGTGTATATGTGTATGTGTGTGTCTCATTATGTTCTTCTCGGTCCCTGCGTGTTCCGGTCATGAGTTAGTGTCTGGATTGGCTTTTTGACCTTTACATGTGGCCCTTTTGGCTGGGTTTATTCCTCATGCTCTATAGAGTTCTTTTAACACGTTTTCTGTTGCCGCGAGGCTACTTCTGTGTATATAAAATTTGTGTGTGTGTCTTTGTGTTTCCTGTGTTATTACAGTGTTTCATGTTTTGTGATTGTTTGTATTTCTGTTTTGTGTATGTTCTTTTTATTTTGTCTTCATGTTCTTGTCCTTATGCTTTAAGAAGCTGCTTGTAGCCCCCTATGGGCTCGTGTCTGGTCGTTTGTGTTCCTTGTTATTCTGTGTTCCTTGTTATTCTGTGTTCCTTGTTATTCTGTGTTCCTTGTTATTCTGTGTTCTTTGTTATTCTGTGTTCCTTGTTATTCTGTGATTTTCTGTGAGGTGTTACTCTGTATGTTGTGTGTTGCGTTTCTGTATTATGGTGTTTGTTGATGTGTTGTGTGGAGCCTCTGCTCGGGGTTTTTTTTTTGGTGCTTCGGTACCTTTTATGTTTTATTTGCTTTGTTTTTACAAATAAAAAGAAAACAAAAGTCGCCATGATCGAGGAAAGATGTACAGGTTTCGTAAATCGACACGTAAATGCCTATTGCCAAGCGGAATATTATACGATATTATTTCTTGACAAGTTTTAATAATATATATGTTGTCTTTTTCCAGCGGGTGGAGACTCGAAATTCCAATAGGCTCAGGCGTGTGTATATAGAATAGAGGGTTCGATCCCATGGCATGGACTCCAGCTGGTGGGACTCGTAGCTCGTAGGTAAGTGATCCTCTTTGTGTGTTCAATTATACACCACAACCTTTGGCCAAAATATACAAACTAGGCTGTTAGGTTCAGGCAAATGGGGTGGACCTTCGACAAGCCGCTGGCTTCTTGTCCTCATCGAGGCCACTAGTGTTAGCGGCTCTAGGGTGAATTCAGGTATAAAGGTTGTTAGTTAGGGTGTACATAAGTGTTTTTTTGAAGGAGACGTGGGTTAAAATGAATTAATTATTAATTAATTATTGAATTGAACTATTATTGAATTAAAATTACAATTATTACTTAACCTATACCGTTGATAGGTTAAGTAATAATTGCAAATAAGAAGCAATAAGATCCTTATCTTAACATACTAAGAAGGTTAGGTGAGGTCGGTGTTTTCTATGAAGCTTTTCAAGGTAAACTAAAATATTCACAATCAATTAGTATGTCACATATGCACTTATTAAATAAGCCAATATTGACTATAAGCAAGTGCGAGAACGGGTTGCAAAATGACGTACCCAGCACAAACTGATGTACACACATACACAGTTGTGACAGTGTCAGACCACGGTGGCAGTGTCAGACTCCTTTTGAAGATGTATTAATATACGAAAGTACTTAAGGAAATTCCTGTTTCAATTTTCCTCCGTGGTCTGACACTGTCACATTTTTAATCACGTGTTTATTTTTCGTGATTTACACACACACAGTTGTGTACATACACTGACTCCATACACAGTTTCAAGTGTGGATATGATAGAGCCCAATAGGCTCAGGAACCAGTACACCTGTTGATTTACAGTTGAGAGGCGGGACCAAAGGTAAGATAAGTTCAACTAGGTAAGTACACACAAGCGTTCACAGGTAAGTGACAATATCAGAATACCAGAGAGATTAGACAGAGTTGTGTCAACGTTTTCGTCAGTTAAAGAACTATGAAGTTGAACTAAGTTTATTAAGATGTTAATACAAAGGGATGATCTTATGATGTTGCTAAAGTTATTCTCACTCTGTTCAATATGATGAGTTATGGTGTTTTAGTATTGACAGAGGAAACCTCTGGAGGGTTAAGGCCCTGACACTACCTTATTGACAAATTAAAATATTGACATGATCTCTCTCTGATGGGGCAGCAGGCGCCGGGGTGTGAGAAGGCAGTCAGGATGGGACGGCAGGCAAATGTCAGGAGTCTTTGTATGTATGTATGTATGCATGTATGTACTCACCTTTTTGTGCCTGCAGGATCGAACATTGACTCTTGGATCCCGAGTAGTGTGTGTGTGTGTGTGTGTGTGTGTGTGTGTGTGTGTGTGTGTGTGTGTGTGTGTGTACTCACCTAATTGTACTCACCTAATTGTGCTTGCGGGGGTTGAGCTTTGGCTCTTTGGTCCCGCCTCTCAACTGTCAATCAACTGGTGTACAGATTCCTGAGCCTACTGGGCTCAGGAATCACACACTGTGACACACTCACACACTGTGTGTGTGTGTGTGTGTGTGTGTGTGTGTGGTCATGACGCAGGTAGTGACGCTCTGCTGGTGTGGTCTACAGTGCTGGTGGGGATGGGGGTCTTGTTCGGAAAGTTGGGTGCAGTGGTTTTGGGCCTTCGTTCTATATCGACTTTTGGAGGGTTATTAAGGGTCACTTTCCCCACAGCTTCCTGACCAACCAGCAAGTTTGGTGTTGGGCTTTGGGCTTATCAACCTGTAGTGGCCTTAACAACCCTCCATAATACCTTACTGACCAACCAGCAAGTATACTTTTGTCCTGAATATTGTCCAGGACTAAAGTATACTCTCAGTGTGTGTATACACCGAGGAAAGGGGTCTACCTTTCAGTGTATATTCACCCCTTGAGGACAAGGGAAAGGGGGTTGCTGATATACTTTGAATCTTTATATATATATATCCCATTTGTAATACCTTTTTTATTACCCATGTGTATATATCTTTCCCCCTGCTTTTTGTCTTTCTTGAGAAGGTAAATCAAGTTTTCTCAACCTCTCGCCACAAGGAAGGTTCCTAATCCTCGATAATTAACTCAGCCATCCGTCTAGTAGATCTTATAAAGAATTTATGTCCCCTCTAGTATGAGGCCTAAGACTGAACTATATGATCTAAATGACGCTTAATAAAGGCAATATAACGCTAATGAATATTAATAAAGTATTTTTTTTTACTAACTATTTCATTTTATAGATCTTATTATCCCATTTAATAAAGTATTTCTTTTACTATTTCATTTTATAGATCTTATTATCCCATTTAATAAAGTATTTCTTTTACTAACTATTTCATTTTATAGATCTTATTATCCCATTTAATAAAGTATTTCTTTTACTAACTATTTCATTTTATAGATCTTATTATCCCATTTAATAAAGTATTTCTTTTACTAACTATTTCATTTTATAGATCTTATTATCCCATTTAATAAAGTATTTCTTTTACTAACTATTTCATTTTATAGATCTTATTATCCCATTTGGTCTTATTTCAAGCATCTGTAAATTGGTTAAATTCATGCTTCATAGATGTCCCAGCTTGTCGCCTTTGTGTGATGATTAGTTCCTTTCTGGTGATGATATTTAGATCACTGTCGCATCTAGATGTGTCGATGTCACCGTTGTTCAGCAGGTATGGGATAGCTCTCATGTGTCGATGTCACCGTTGTTCAGCAGGTATGGGATAGCTCTCATGTGTCGATGTCACCGTTGTTCAGCAGGTATGGGATAGCTCTCATGTGTCGATGTTGACGTTGTTCAGCAGGTATGGGATAGCTCTCATGTGTCGATGTCGACGTTGTTCAGCAGGTATGGGATAGCTCTCATGTGTCGATGTTGACGTTGTTCAGCAGGTATGGGATAGCTCTCATGTGTCGATGTTGACGTTGTTCAGCAGGTATGGGATAGCTCTCATGTGTCGATGTTGACGTTG